AATTATGCAAGATGTTCCAGAAAGAGGAGGTCTTAAACTTCCAAACCTACAGTTATATTATGATGCAGCAGCTTTAACTTTAACAAGTGATTGGTTTGGAAGTAAAAAGGCTGGAATACTGAATGCAGAAAGTTATGATCTTGAATTTGGATGGCATGCTTACTTATTTTATGATGATAAAGTTGATAAAGTATTTAAAAGTCATATACTTAGAGACTCTTTGATGAGAGTTTGGAAGAAGCATCGACTCAAATGGGATTATAAAATACCGCTATGGCTGGATCTTGGTCATACTTTGTGGAATACAAATATAATGTCACTCGGGGGGGTTTTATACAAAGAGGTTCTTTTTATAGATGCGGGCAGATGGCAGCTGAAGACATTGCAGACACTGTTGGACGAAGGGATTAATTTAACTTGGTTACAATATAATCAATTACAATTGAGATGGAAAGAGGACCAAAAAACTGGTATTATGTTGCACGAGGAAGAATTGGTTAGACATATAAGAGAGAAAGGTCCAATGCATATCAAAAGGCTTTATAATGTCTTGCTAGAAAGGGACTCAGAAACTGAATTAGTTAAAGACTGTATGATTAAGTGGGCACAAAATTTTGAAGAACCAGTGATGTTGGAAAACATGGGAAAAAATTTGGGTTCAGAATGTTAAATTTACACAGTCGCAGAACCTGAGGGAAAATTTCTATAAAATGTTTTATAGATGGCATTTAGATCCCAAAAAGTTGTCATGTATGTACCCTAATGTTCAGCCAAAATGTTGGAGATGTGAATGTTTGGATGCTACGTATTATCATGTTTGGTGGACCTGTAGGAAATTAAGGCTTTTTGGATAAAAATTTGGTGGGTCATGCAGAATGTTTTGAAGAAAAAAATTCAATTTTCTCCACAACTGTTTTTATTGGGCATAGTTAAGGGTTTTACATCGGGTGAAACAAAATTGATATTGTATATGATAACAGCAGCAAGATTGTTGATAGGTAAATACTGGAAGAATGAAGCTTTGCCCACTATCGAGGAATGGATTTTGAAGATGGCCAGTTTTGCAGAGATGGCAAAGATTTCAGCATACTTAAAAGATTGTTCACAAGAGACTTATGAATGGAATGGAATGGAATATGTTCAGAACAAATATCAAACTAGAAAGTATCAAATAGCTTTTATTTAAAAATAATGTATTAGAAATATTTTAATGTAATGAGATAAAGAGAAAAATTATACAGGGGAGGGAGGGGTTCAAGTTTATATATAAGTGTTATATTAAGGGTTTTTTTTTATTTTTTTGGTTGTTTTTCTTTTACCAGTTATGAGTACATTATAGGGAAGTCTGGGGGGAGGGGAGGGTTAGGGAGGGTTAGGGAGGTTGGGAAGTTTGGGGGGGGAGGTGGAGGGGGGAAAAGGGTGAAAATGTAATTGTAAAACTTTTGCAATAAAAAAAAAAAGATGGACACTGTTTAATCTGATCTTCTGGAATAGGATTTTCTGTGTAGAACAAAGGCAATTTGGCAAGGAAATCCACAGGGAACATTTTTACAGTCTGCACAGGATGGGGGGTTGAAGACAAAAGGTTTTTTTAAAGAACTGTGCAAAAGAACTAGGAAGCTTCTGGTTGAATTTTGGATCCCGGGGGCATTATTGTATTTTGGATTAATTACAGTTTGCTCTGTTTGCTCCTACTTTGCAATAATGCTTGTTAAGTTCCCTAAGTATAATTAACAGAAATCTCTTCTCAATTACCCTCTATCCAAATAAAACCGATATTGTAATATTCTTCAGGAAAACCAAGCCAAATTACATGGGATGTCGTACTTTACTACCAGTGTTCTTATTATTCCAACAAAATGTAGCTCCAAAAATCTGAAGCAGAATATTTTTATATCTTCATTCTTAGAAGAAAAAAAAAACATAGCTAGATATGGTTCTGTTTTTAAATAGAGGAATGAACGATTTAGCAACAAAAGCTCTGCCTACATTTTTCATTCTGGGTTTTTAAATTGTATTAGGGTAACTCTGCAGCAAAACCAGATATGATTTATGATCCTGATCCTCAAGTGGAGAGAAAATGGGACATAAAGCAAACTTACTTGCATATAGAATCACTGTCCCAAATAAAGCTCATTACAGATAGTCCACAAATTACAATCATTTGTTAACAACTGTTAACAACATTGTTTGTTGTTGTTGTTGTCAACATTGCTGAACAAAGGGACTAATGACTGGTCCCTGAATTTGCAGCCATTGCAGTGTCACAATGCCTTTGTGCACACTACATCCTCCTTCCCCCTTCACTCACTTGTACACCGCATCCTTTTTCTCTGACTTCCCAGTACTCACACATATGTGGACACCCACCAATGCCCTCCTTCCCAGGGCTTTATGTGTTCTCATACACCCCATATCCTCCTTCCCTGGCCTTCCTAAGCTCACTTCGCATGACAGCACGCCCCTCCCCCAACCCACATGCAGCCTGCACCGGGATTCTGCAATGGCCTCAGAGCCAGATTCCAACAGGAAGGTGGATCAGGTCCCACTAGGTCCTGTGCCTGCTGATTTAACAGTGACTAAATCCAATACTGATATCCTCTCGGGTCCTTCCTCAGATGGTACTAATCCTTCTTTAGCCAACATAGGTACCAAGAAGTGGGGCAAACTTCCTAGTCTACTTGGATTATACCTTCTCCTTAGCCGCTAGTAAGTTGTTGTGCATAGGTGCATGCTTTTTCTTGCTTCCACAACTCCTCTTCAGTTGCCTCCCCTCTGTCATCATTTCTCCTGACAATCCTTCCTGATGTTCTTACAAGCCTTGCTGCAAACATATTGCTCCCAAAATGTTCCTCTCTCCCATGCCCAGGATCACTGAAAGCTTTACCTCCAAGCGCCTGTATGACACCTGCAATTTGCTTGCCAATTGCATGAATGTTTTCCCATTTGCTAAAGCCAGGACACAAAATCCTTCCTACCCCTTCTGCAGCACCCCTGCTCCTTACCTGGAACTCCCTCCACTTCCTGCTTAATAACCCACGTGTCTTGGGTTAAAAGAGTAACCAGAATTGACATCACTAACCAATGTGATCATGTGACATCATGCTTTATTACCTCATTGCTTTGCAACGGTAATCCCAACTCTAATTCCAGTCCCATTTGCAGTCATAACTCAAGGACTACTGTATAGAATGACAACTGAGTTGCTTTACCATCAACAAATTTATACCTAAGACCATTTTGATGATAGTATAATGTTACCTAATCAACATTTGGACAGTATCAGTTTCATTTCAATTGATTTTATTTAATTGCAAGCAAAATTTAGTTTAGAATACTTTCATATTCTATGAATATGAATAGAATGATGAAAGTATTTAGAATACTTTCATATTCTATGAAACTATTTCATGTTGTCCTGTAACAAGTGGTTTTAATTTCAAAGATATGTCAGACTTTTTGCAAAAATCTAGTGATGTTCTTACCATAGGATTGTAAATTTAATCAGAGATGAACAAATACAGCTTACAGGTTGTTTTGGTTCCCCAATGATGTAACACAGGTATCCAGGCTGTCTCCTAAACTGTCACCAAAATCTTAGCATAGTCACTGCCAAAATCATGTAACAAACTATCTCTTTACATCACTTTCAATTGTGTATTGAATCATGTTTTTGCTGTTCTGACTAGTTTTTGCATTCCTCTGTCCAATTTTCTCATGTGGTCATCATCAGATTTTTAATATGATCTTAAACACACCCTTCTAAGGTCAAATGCAAAAGTAATCCACCTTAAAGTTCGCATGCTCTATCTGTGGGCAGGTAACCTATACTCATTACTAAGCTAATTCCTGAATCTGGTTTTATGGTTTCTAAAGACATCAGAATTTCTATCACTAAAAACTAAAGACAGGGTTTCCCATATTCAAGCAAGACATTTTTTTAACAAGTGTATACCAAGACAGCTATAGGAACAAAAATCACAGAATGATACAGCTCTGAAATTTCACCCCTGCCCCCTTTAGTGTCATCACTGGTCATCATTTTACATTTTGCATGTATACTTTGTATTTGTTTATTGATATTTTTTTCTTTTTAAATTATTTTTTATGCTGTCTCCTGCCAAGACTTGGGTGGTCTTATAAGTCTCAAAAATAAATGAATAAATAAATACCATATTGATCCATCAACTGCTGTACTTGCTTCCATAAAATACAGCCCCGGCTGCCAAATAGTTTGCTCTGATTACTAATTTAAGGAGAGCCAATAAATCTGACTAAAAAGCATAGACAGGCCTATATCCTTCAAGGGCTTCAATTTGAATGTCAATACTTAATGAAAGATAAAGGAGAAGAAAGAAAGATGAGCATGAAGGATGAATGTGAACAAATTAGTTAGGATAATCAAAGAATTAAATGCAAGTCTTCACAGAAAGAATGTGTTCTGAACCACCAGAATGTTCTGGAAGAATGTTCCTGGGATAGTCAGGAAGAATAAATACATTCATTAACATAATCATCCTGAGATGAAAATATACATTTATAATCCTGGGATTATATACATAGTGTATTTGAATCTCTTCTACAGATACAATCAGAATTAGGCCATGAATATATTATTAATATACTGTAACTCATTTATTTTTCTTGGATTATCATTACCTTTTTTCAAACTCTTTCTTGAATGAATTCTCAATGTTTTAAAAAAAAGCTTTAATCTTAGATATTGCCGTGTCAAATGTTTTCCTTATTCAAAATCCTGTTTTAAATTTAGCAGTCATGTAGAAAGATGAAACAAGAGACAGAGAGAGAGGGGAACCCTTAATTCAAAGCAGACAAATCTCTACTTCATCCAAAATTCTGCTCCATACCAATTAATTTCCAGGTATTTCTTCCAAAACCTTATAAGCCATGAGGATGATGAAAATGAGAAGCATTAAAATGATATCAAAACACATTAAATATGTCTATAGAAACAATAAATAGGCCCAGGAAATTCATACCTTAAAGACAAGCGTTTGGTTTTCTTCTCTGTAACTGGCTCCAATTTTTGATGTGGCAATAATACTGGTTTCCGCTCAGGCAGATGAGACAAAGGGATATTAGGGCCAATGGGTGGCAGGAAATGATGGCACATGGCAGTAGTGACTCTCCAACCAATGCATTGGGATGACAAGAGATAAGTAGAATTTGATGGCTCTTTTGATGAAAGGGAAGTGTTTATTTGACCTTTGGCTTCAACCTAGAGGGGAAAAAACACATACTATTATGTTTATTGTATGAAACAAGAAACAAGAAAATGACTGGGCAAGTCTAACACCAAAGGAGGTTTGAATTTTATTTTAATGCCTTTGAGTCACTGTTGTCTCCTGACAACTGCCTGCAATTTTCTTGGTAAAATTTCAAACATGGCTTCCTAATGCCTTCTTCCTAAGGCTGAGAGAGAGTGAGTGGCCTAAGGTCATCCAGATCAGGGGTCTCCAACTTTGGCAACTTTAAGACTTGTGGACTTCAACTCCCAGAGCAAAACTGGCTGAGAAATTCTGGTTGCCAAGGTTGGAGACCCCTGACCCAGATGACTTTGTGTCTAAAGCAGGACCAGAGCTCATGGTCTCACAATTTCTACCTGATGCCTTCACCACTATACCAAACTGGCTCTCCCAAAGGAGACATAATTATACTCTACCAATGATGCTCTATTCAGGAAGGATGCAAAAGATGTCATGTAGAAGGTGATAAGTATAAGATTATTTCTCATTTCTGTTCTTTGAAGCCCAAGCATATTTATCTTGATTTGAAATGCTAATGTTGATATAATTTATAAACATATAGAAATATTAAAAGATTTAGCACAAATCAGCAATTTTCCAAAAATATTTCCAAAATGACCTATTTGAGATACTTTGTCGATGTTGTAATTCATATTTCTCATCCTATGTGCTGCTGGCAGCCCATATTTTAGGATTTGGCTATGCTTCTATGTTTATCCACATATTTGATTTATTCTTTTTGTTTGTGCTCTGATTAATACCAGTTAACAAAACAAAAATATATAGATATAAAAGGTTAACAATATATTAAAGTTCACATCAAAATAGCCACTAAAGTAGTTTAAAGATTAACACTGTGGCAAATTGCTTATATGCTGAGTGATCAGTTTCAGTCTTCCATTAAACTCTGTATTGGGATTCATTTCAATCTGCCATAGATTTTTTCCTATGGAGTTTGCACTTTGGTCATGTTTGGAGAGTCCAGGAGAAGGGAGATTCATGTGTTGCCTGGGAATTAGGGAGGGGGATTGTCTTTGGAGATGGAGCAGACTCCCTCCCAGCTGGTTCCAGCCTGGTTTCAAGGCCGTCATGCCCTGAGAGTGAATTGTTATCTGCCTAGCACCTCAGAGTTCTCAAAACAACCTTGTGGCATCACATTGGCTGCCAGTGGACTATCAGGGGGATTGGGTTTGGGGATGAAAGAATTGCTTTGTACTTTGCACAGGCTTTTTCAGATTTTGCCTGATATTACTGTAACCATATTCTCTCAGTAAAAGTTATTTTGATTCAACCCAATGGAGTCATGAGTCTTGCTTTCCTGAGGGATTAGCTGGGGAGCTCCTTACAAAGGTTGTAACTGTGAAAAATGGCCATAATCACTTCACGCCTGGATTCATAGTAGTAATCTGGACATATTATTTCTAAATAAAATCCACAGAAATTTAATTATTTGATTTACGCATTTACTATTACATATTGTTTACTTCTTATACTATTTACTTCTTATATATTATTTACTTATTTACTATTGTATGTTATTGACTTATTTATTTTACACCTTATTTTTAAATAAGATCCTTTTACTTTTTGGGCAAAACCCTATTAGGTTGCAATAGCTAAACCTTTTAACTTCAAAGTGTGTGCAGTGTTTTAACCAGCTCCATTGTTATTCTTATAAGAGAATGGATCTTTCTTCCAAGTTGAGTTCAAAATGCTAGAAATAACAGATGACTATACAAATACATTAAATGAGTAAGCTAGGCTTCCTTTTAAATCTTTTAGCCCTTATAACAGTACACAGGTAGAATAGGAAATGCTTTTTAAAAAAAAAAAACCTTTAAAGCATTTTTAAATATAAAAGATCTCTATTTGGGTATAACATGCTTATTATTATGTTGTTATGTTATCCTACTATTTCAGATTTCAATACTTTCCAAATATAGTAGGGTTAGTTTGGGGTGGGTAGGTTAGCAATAGCAAGATAATCAACTCAACAACAAATCTTACACAACAGAAATGTTGAGCATTAATTAAAGACTGTATTTTCTGGAATCCACATTCTCTTAGTACTAGATAATCCTATTTGATTTGTCTTCTATTTATTCTTTGTAGTAGAACACTTAAAATCACTTCAGGTTTGCTAATACAAAAAGTGTCTCTTTTATCTCTCTTTTGTTTTCTTCCCAAATTTTGTGAGATTAGCCTAAGAATAAAAATAAGCTGGACATAATTCTTGGTACTTATTTGTACTTCCAAACTGGATATCCAACAACAGTTTATTTATTTATTTATTTCCAGAAACTTTGAGAAAGTCTATAATCTACATCATATTCTATTTAAAGCAAAAAATCTTACTCAACTAACTATAACTTAAATCCCAGGTACATTCCTGTTCTCTTTTTTTCAGATTTTCAGATTGCATATATGTTGCAGAGCTATCATAAAATATATACCCCTGACAGAGCTTTTGCCAGATGACATTTGACACAATATTTTACAAGAAAACAAGTGATGAGACCTATAAAAGTAGGGAAATCAGTCCTTGGTGGCTAATTCATATTTCTGTTCTTCAGAATAAGAAACAAAGAATAAGTAAAATCATATTTTATAGAGTAACTCGTCTTATTGAACAGTTTATGGTATGATGAATGTCCAGTTGTTCCTCATTTATTACTTTGAATCCAGCTGTCTTTCCTGCTGCAGGCACAAACAATGTGCTATCACGCTATCACTGAGGAAAATATGACTATATCCAACATGATTTCTGTGACTGGAAATTTAAGTTATGATTCCTCTGAATTTAGGCTCTGTGTTTTAGGGGAAGACATTATAAATTTAGAGAAATTAACTTGGCAGAACAGGGGAGACAATTCTCCCAGCATCAACTCTAGATGACTCCATTTCCCCAGAAGGCTCAGTGTATGAGAAATCAGTCATGCTGTTCCATCTCCCAAATCATTAAAGAGTCAGAATTTCTTCCACACTATAAGTTACAATATCTGTGACAACACCCATATGAAAGAGTTTTCCCAGAAAGAGAAAAATGCACTTCATTTAACTCTTTTCTTATGGTATTTTAACTTAGACAGCCAAGGCCTTCGAATATCCACTCTAGAGAATGGCATATGGCATTCTAACATTAGAGAGAATGAAGCTTATAGCCACAAATAAGGCTCCAAACAATGAGAGCATGGCATCATTTCTGCACATAGAAAATAAATAGAATTACCGTGACAATGGAAAATTCACAGATGGTGTTCTAGAGAAGTGGGCAAAAATATGGCAACTAGAGACATTCCTTATGGAAAGAAACCAAGCCAGAATGCTTCTGCTGTCTGCTCTGTAGCCAAAATAAACTCCACTGTAGCATGGGGTAACCCCCAAGAGTGAATCCAAGGGTGAAAAAGGCATACAATACTATCGGCATCAAAGCTGTGACTGAGGGAAGCAGCATCTGCCATTGCGTATTATTCTATGATAAGATTTCTTGAACAACCACTCTCAAATTATGGGAAAAATCACTTGGGGTGGGGGGGACCTTGAGATGAGCTCATTTTCCACCGTATTCATTAGAGCTTTTGTTCTTTTGTGCTCAATTCAGCAGTGACCACACCAAGAGAGAAAGAGAGAGGGAATGAGAAATAGGCAGGGGAATAAAAGTAAAAGGATTTACTTAAAAAGGAGTCTGTCTCTAATCACCAGAAAGAGAAGGTCAAAAAAGAACAGTGACAGATAAGAAATGAGAGATCTTTTTTGAGGGTGAAAAAAACACTTTCTGTCAGTGTTTTGGGTATTGTGAAGCAGATGGCAGAAAGCACTTACACATGATTCTTCTTCAGTATACCACCAAATGCTTTAGGACTGCTCACAAAAGCCAAATTCTTATTCAAAATTTCCCAGGAATCATTACTAACTCAAACTATTGTGATTAAGTTCAAAATACATAGTAATGTTCCTTGCTTTCCCCCACCCACCCAAAATATGTTCAAAAACCAATAAGTGACAACCCTAACTACTCTACCTAAGACCCTAATTTGTTTTTCTTATTCAAAAGTCAGTTCCACTTTGAAGACATTGAAGGTTGAAGACTGACATTTGAAGACATTTAAATTGAAATAGACAGGGAAAGACATTGACTTGAAGACATATTAGAAATTAGAGCAAAGGGGTCAATCTGAGGAACTCAAACCATTTTTACATCACCAAAAAATCATGGTATAATTTTCTGACACCTTAAAGAAAAAAACAAATATTAACATTAAACATCATAAAGAATAGTATATGGGTAAAAGAGAATACAAAAATCTTTTGATACCCCATCCCACGCAATACATTAGTTTTCCGAGGTCTGTACACTTCAGCATTTGCCTATCCACTATAGCAGTGTTTCACAAAGTATGGTCCAAAACCACTGGGGTTTCCCAAGACCTCCTCAGATGGCCAACTTCCAAGATTTTCTCTAGGCTGGAGTTTTGTATCAACAGATTCATGCCTAAGATTACATGATCATGCAAATTGTATTTCAGGTATCTAAACAAAGGTAGAATAGGAGAACACAAAAGGTAACATTCCACAGCTTGATCTTTATAGTCTCCCAACCATCTTTCAGATGGAAGTGGTTCCTGCCTCTTCCAAGCCAGACAGCATACTAGCACAACTCTACATGGTATCTCATACTGCTTGCTCAGATCATTTCTGGAGTAATTCCAATGTTCCCAGTAATCCCCTGTGCTTAACCAATACGAAATTAGTCATATCTTTATAGCTGAACTTCTGAGAGATCCTGTCCCCATTATCTACCTATTACATCTCTAGTGTGTTTTTTTCAAATGAGTGATGCTGGAGCACATATTGTTCTCCTTTTTCAGAGCTTATTGTTTATACTACTTAGTGGTTTTAGTTCTGTGGTATTCAGAATTATTCTATTCTATATGGTAAGGTTGATATTTATGGTTTCACAACATTAGAGTGG